GCGGCGGGCCATTCGGCGCTTTATCGGGCTTAGCGGGCTCTATGCGCTCTATCGGCTTGTCAAGCACTTTGATAGTCGGGGACTCATTCGCGGGGTTTTCTTCAAAATCGTTGGGTCTCGGACGCAGCTCTGGCGCTATTCCCCTTGTGCCTACTTTGATGACTATCTCATGGCGTATATCGGCGAAACGCTCCCGCTTATCTTCTTTGATTACTTACCCGCGGAGATGCTGTTCGCGCACGGAGACTTGGACAAAAGCTCCCCGGTGAGTGAGACGGCTCGGTTAGTGCGCAAGATGCGGAACGCGCAGCGGAAGATGTTGATTACGCTTTACCAATCGGACCTCGATCGCGCCCGAAACGAGCCCAAACCCGTCTTAATTCGCTATGTCCTGGTCTCCGGCGCCACGCACACGGACTTTGTGGTGGAGGAGCCTCTTTGTCGTCAATATAGCCATGTGGTGGAGCTGCTTACCCACTACGACATGCGGTCGGGCGATCCGCCGGTCGGGGATGCCTATATCCCGCTCTCCCCTAGGGCCTGCACCATGACGTTAAACCCCACACCCCACGACTGTGATGATGGTTTATCAAAGACCCTACAAGAAGAAGGAGAAGAAGAAGAAGAAAACGACGTGATGGGGTCTCCTATGCCATCGGCCGGACGGCCAAACACCATCCTGATATACCCGGCCTCTTTGAAAAAACGCCCGATGTTAATGCGCCTGGCTAGTTTGGTTTCTCCCTTCTAATGAACCGTTGGAAAGGGGGGGGGGGGGGGAGAGAGGAGAGTGTAAGCATCCCCCCAAAATAATATAAATGCGCTGACTTTAAATCGTGTACTGACTCTTTTTCAACTCCAGTGTTAGAATCGATGCGGGGCTTATGGGTGACCCTGCCACCCATTATGTTTTGGCATCCATCCTGACGATGGACCTGGCCTCTAGCCATGGTGTAGGCGTCTTATTGGCGAAAAAGAAGCTTCCATATGTAAATTATAACACAAAAGTCAGCGCAAGAAGAAAAAGAAAGAACGCGAGTCTTTCTCACGATGTGTTGTATGCGACTTTGAGGTTGCAGCGTGTATTGTGTAACAGGTTGTCTTTGTTTTGGCATTTCCTGTTGGATATTTCTATCCTATGAGTCTTCACATGAAACTACTTCACATTTAGGGCACCTTTACCTATTAATCGGATTCCCCCTCTTCGCCGACCATAAACGAAAAATAGATAGAGGGTATCCCAAACGTGTCATTTTCTGGTGCATTGGGTGGTATTGGATTAATAAACCGGTTGTATGACTAACGCCTTGTCAATAAATTGTATGTTTTCCGGTACTCACTACGTTAGCGTCCGTGTGTTTAAACTATCAACACACGAGGCGATGGTATTGGGTATCGCTGCCACGAGATTCCCACGATGGCAGGTTTATCCCCGGTCCAATAGTGGGTATTTGTACCAACCCCACCTCTCTTGGATGCCAATGGCCCCTTTCCGCCATTCAGCCAAATTTTTCCTTCACCCCCCTACCACCCTTGTAAGCCCCTAAAAAACCACCCCTCGATCGCCTAAATCGCGTCCTGTTCATCGATTGATCCCCCCCCCCCCTCCCCCCTCCATTCCCATCCCTTTATCTTTCCTTACAGAGTTCTTTCTTTTTCTTTCTGTAGAATTGCCCCTTCATGTCCTGCCCGGCCCGATGAACCCCAACTGCGCGATGTCCCGCTACGCCTTCCGGCACTTGGGCTGGGCCCTGCGCAGCGCCCTGCAGCTGCTTGTGGCCCTCAGCACCGGCGTGACGTGGGTCCTGCAGGCCCTCCGTCTGCTCCTGCACGCCGCGGGGATAGTCCGTTATTACCTCCCGCACTGGCGCTGGTACTTCGGGTCGCCCCAGATCATCCGCCACGTGGCCTACCGCCGCGCCGATCGCGCGAGCTTCGCCCGGGCACGCCGCGCCAAAGGGGGGAAAAGAGGGGGAAGAGGCGAAAA